AAGTCGAACATAGCCAAATTATATATATATATATATATATATATATATATATATATATAAATCACACATTATATATACATATATCAAATATGTCTACAATAGTCGGATAAATCGAGATCTTCAAATACATAAACTTAATGTAAGATTCAATCATGAATATGGTAAATATTTTAAGGAAAAGAGTATAACTTGACGATTATATTGATATTATTTGTATCTCGTTCGTTATAATAATTCTTTGATAGCAAGCAATAACACATGTATCGCGTTTTCACTTACCATGTTATATGTGATCTTGTTATCGCTTTCGTTGAGCGCATTATGAATCTCCTTCCTAAGTTTATCCTGAATCTCTGGCTGTATTGCGAGTTCGTACAAAGCAAAAGCCATTGCCGTCGAAGAAGTTTCATAACCACCGGTAAAAAAGATGACTGCTTGCGCTACTATATCGTCATCATCAAATTCTAAAATTTAATTCCTCTTTTAAACCTTTGAACTATTGTTAACTTTCTATCTTTCTCTCTTTCTTTTCTTATTAAATTAGTTTTTTTTTTATTAAATATAATTAAAAATATTTCGTTTGCACTCTTTTCGTAAAGAGTCATCATCGTTTTATGTATAATATATTTTGTTTACTGAATTCTCCCATATCCTGCTGACCGTAATTTTTCTTTAGTTCGATAAGAATATCTATGAGATCGTTCCTCTTTATGGCAGACTCCATGCGTTGAGTCATTGTCTCCCAACGACTTTCTGTTGCAGTCACAAAATATTTTTTTTGTGAACTTAATTGGATAATTTCATATATCTTCAAAAATTGCAAATTTTCACAAATTGTTTTTCTTCAAAGCGTTCAATAGACATGCAGACTCCATGCGTTGAGTCATTGTCTCCCAGAAGGCTTTGCGTAAGAAAGTGCTGGTATCTTTGCCGAATGCTTTTAAATGGGCCAAACGAGTTATATATGGGAGAAAAAACACCGCAAGCATCTCAAAACCCCGGATATAGCCAAAATCGAAAATCATTTTACCCTTCAAAGCGTTCAATAGACATGATAGGAAAGGAAGATACACAAAACGTCTTTTATAACGCAGTCAAAATAAATAAGATAATTCTGTCTATTCATATCGCGTGAAGCGAACAAAATTATTTATTTTACTGTAACTAAAAATAGTTCTTTTCTCTAACAAGATTTACTTTTTTGCTTTATGTTCACTATAAGCATCTTTTTGTTCAATTTAATTGAATATTACATAAGTCCTATAGACTTTTTTAACAAAGTGCGTTTGAAACCGATATGTTTTGAAATTCTCGACATGTTGTATTTTAAAATCTCAGCATCGAACTAATATTATCTGGACTACTTGCAATCAAAAGATTATATTAATATAACATAGTATAAATATTGTTAGACCTTTTATTACGACATTAGTTTTTT